ATAATAAAATAGAATAAATATAAACAACTTATATTTTATTGAATAAAGTAGTTGTATAGGACTTTGAAAAAATAAAATATAGTTGAGGTATTTAAAATGAATATAAACTAGAACAATGCTCTTAGAGTGAACCAGATAGTACTTACAAGATATCTTATTTTCTCAGTCCTGAATAAACTGATAAGATTAAACTCAAGTACTTTCTTTATTCTCTAAAAGAAAATACTAATAAGAAGCAGTAAGGTACTAATGAGGTTTAAAATATAAGTTCCAAGACCAACGCCATGTAATCTGACTTCTTGTTACAACATTGGTATTTGAACCAAAATGAAAATAATGTAATTAAAAAACTTTAATGGTTTCAATTAGTACAGTCATTTTTTTGAAAATTTTAGTAAATAGAAATAAACAAGATTATACTTACTATATATAAAGAATATTTTATTGAAAAATGTACTATTCATTTAAATTGTAAATAAATTTATATGTTTCCTATTTTAAAGCTATTAAAATTAGTAACTATTAGGGAAAATGCTAGTATTATGAAATAAATAATATAGAAGAACATAGAAAAGGGCTAGTGGTATACTAGTACTTACTAATAATAATACTAAGTATTATAATCCTATTCATGCTATTAGTAAATTTAATAAAATTAATTATTTAAAGTCAATTCATACCACTATTATCTATCATGAAATAGAAAGTAGAATAAACCATACTCTGGTTATTAAATAGTAAATAAATACAAAACTAAAACATAAACCAGTTATGTGAATAGTTGGTAGGAAGAAGAAAAAAGAGTGGTTGGAGTGCTAAAAATATAAATATTAGTATAAAAGTGTTTAGAAGAAATAAATTACTTAAGATGCAACTTACTAGCTTCTAATATTCTTTTCTAATATCATCAGTTAGTAAATAATCAGTTTTATCAAAATTTCTCATTATATTTAACTTATAAAAGTTAAGGGGTAATACTATACTCAGCGATCTTATTATATATCTTAAAAAGACAAGAAAGTGTGAAGGGAGGTCCACAGTTTTCCTAAATGAAATAATATATAAAGATAAATAATAAATATAAATGAATTGTAACCAATTGGTAGGAAGAAGAAAAAAGAATAATAAGAGCACTCAAAATATATGTTAGTACAATCCTTTTTAAAGATAACAAATTGTATGTGATATAACTTACTTGCTCTTGAAATCTTTGTACTAATATCCTACCTCTAAACCCCCATACTTTGGAGCAATCTCGTCAATGGATAATATAGTATTAATTATTTAGAGAAGTAACTCTCTAAAATAATTAAGACAATATTTTAATACCTATCTAGATTTATTAGTAGTATAAGACTACAATAATATTAGTCTTTTTAGAGAAGAAATAAAGTAAAATCTAGAAGGGTTTTAGTAAAAATACTATTTTTAATAGAGGAAAAAAGGATAATACTTAAAATGCATACTAGCAGAAATAATATTAGAACTATTTTGCCATATTCTTTAATTCTTTAATTATTAAATAAATGTACTTTCAAATACTAACATTTGTAATATTAGTAATTTTAGTTAATATATTTTAAGTAAAAAACAACTTAAGAAATAGGAAAAGAAATCTGAGCACTTACAAGTTAAAATAAAGTACGACCAGGAACACATCCAGTTACGGTAATAATTTTGAGATTGATTTTCCTGCTTAGAAGTTACTAGTACTGCTATAGAGCTTTGTCTATATATATAAATGAATAGTTATTAGTTATATTATTAAAGCTATTCAAGTAATGAGTTATAATCTTACCTATTACTATCCATGTTTGATAGTGCTGTAACTAGTAATGACTCTAAGAAATTATCTCTGTTATATTGTTAGCCTTTTTGATACAATCAATTAATAAAGTTTTATACATACTTCAGACTTCTAGTATAATTATAACTTATATAATTGTAATCAATCAATAATAAATTGATGTAGAATCAGACAAGGTATGAATTACCAGAAGAGGTAGTTGGTAATATTCAAAGAAATATGATTAAAATATATAAAAAGGGGAAAGTAGTTAGAAGGGAATAGAAGTAGAAGTAGTAAAAGGAAATTACTACTATAATTTCCTAATATTTAATAATAAATTAGTATAAAGATACTAAAATCTTATTGATTAAGAGTACTTACTAGGTATCCTATATTCTTGGTTCTGAATAAAGTGAAGAGATTATACTAAACTGTTTATTTTATTCTTGGAAGAAAATATACTAACAGGAAGTAGTAAGATAATAAAACTCAAAATATGAGCTTTCTTACTAGTACCTTATCATGTAACCTCTGACTATAAGCTTGGTAATTTAACCAGAGTGAAAATAATATAACTAAAAAACTTTAATTATTTTAGTTAGTACAGAGTATTTTCTTTAAAACTTCAGTAAATAGAAATAAATAAGATCATACTTACTGTATATAATTTGAATATTTTATCAGAAAATATACCATTTATTTGAATTGTAAATGAATTTATATAAGCTATCAATTTTAAAACCATTAAAATTAGTAATTATTCCTAAGAAATATAATGAAATAGATTATATAAAAAAATATGGAAAGGATTTAGTAGTATACTAGTACTTACTAATAATGATATTAGGTTTTGCAATACTAATGATATTGTTAGCAAATATAATAGAATAGAATTAATTTTTTGAAGTGAATTCATACCTCTATTACCTATCATTTAATATAAAGTAGAATGAACTACATTCTATTTATTAAATAGCAAATAAATAGAGAACTGAGATAAGCATAAATTGGTCATATATATAACTGGTAGGTGGAAGAAAAAAGATAGTTGGAGTGCTAGAAGTATATATGTTAGCATAAAAGCTTTTAGAGGAAACAAATTTAAATTACTTAAAATATAACTTACTAGCTCCTAATATTCTTTTCTGATATTATTGTATATTATGAAAGAGAAGAATGTATGAAGGGAAGTCCCTATTTGAAATAGAATAATAAATATATAAAGAAGAAAGATAAATGTAATTGACAAGTAAAAAGGAGGAAAAAGAATAATAAGAGTACTTAAAATATATATATTAGTACAATACTTTTTAAAAGTAACAAATTACTTATGATATAACTTACTAGCTCTTATGATTCTTTTCTTAAATTAAAATTTTCCAATAACTTTATTCTAAAGCTCAGAATGATACATGATTTGATTTTCCACTATAATCAATATAATGTTAGAATATATAATTAGTATAATTTTAAGTAAAACAGTTTTTAAAAAAGATAGGATAGGTACCTATTAGTGATAGTTTTAATAATATTCTTCTATTCGCATTATTAATAGCTTGAGTGCAATCAACTTTCAACTTGAAAATTTAATATCATACCAGTAATGAATACTTAAATAATTAATTATAGTCAATTATAAAAATATAATTGAAATATATAATAAGTTGAAAGATTTAAAGAAAATCAGGGTAGAAGGAAAAATCAATTGCTATATTATATTTTAAATATAAATAATAGATTAGTATAAAGATGTTTGGAAAAATATTAATTAAGAGAACTTACTGAATATTTTTTCCTATTTCAGACCCTCATATAATACAATAAACTGAGCTGATAAACTCCTTTTGTCTTATACATAAGAGATATTTCATTTCTTAAAGAAACTTCAAATTATTTAAAGAAACTAAAACCTAAGAAATTAGATGATTTTAATTAGTTTTAAGAGATTGTTGATAAGTTCATTAAATTTTGATAAGATTAGTTGAAATTGCACTTACAATATATAGTATAACTTTTGTATGAACTATTATACTTTCTCCAAAACTTTACAAAATATGTTTTGAGAAGAAGAAAAAAAAGCTCTACTAATATTAATAAATATGACTGAAAGATTATAGATTGGGCAGGAAGGATATAATAAAAGTAAGTATAGCAAGTGACTTACCAGTCTGAGCTGTAACTACACAACTTATAATTCTTTCAGGATTCAATTAAAATCAAACTGAGAAGAAATTTAAAAACAGAGGAGTAAAAATGAGTAAAAATGAGAAGAGAGGAGAAGAGAAGAAGAAGAAGAAGAAGAAGAAGAAGAAGAAGAAGAAGAAGAAGAAAAGACTCCTGACCGAATCCAGACAGAACCACCCCATATCAAACCTCACGTCACCCAATAAACAGCCGCTGAGACGAGTCGTTCCAGCAGCAATGCTCCGACAGACGATGACAATGACAGCGACGACTGCAATGTTTGCGGTGGTTGGAGGTGTTCGTGCGCACAGGGAGGAAGGAGCTGAAGAAGAAAGAGGGGGAGGGGGGAGGCCCGTTTTATACACTTCATGGTCCGCACGTGCCTGGGATTTCTCTCTCCGGGCTGCGGTAGGGCTGGCTCATTGCGTCACCGACATTTTTGAGGGCTCCGGGAGCATGGCGCTGAAGTGCCGGGCCTCCCATTCCTTCCTGCGGGCAAACCCGATGAAATATCATGATGTGGTGTGACTGCGGGATACTAGAATTCATCGATTTCCATGACGTCTGCGGGGAGGACACAACACAGCACGATACGGCACGACACGAAGGAAAGGAAACGAAGAGAGAGAGGGAGGGAGGAGCTTTGCTGTTCTCTGTGAAGCCCTTCACATGTACTTATGAATGCATGCATGTCTGGAGGTCTGGCGGGAAGTAACATCCCGACCGCTAATGGTCATGCGAGTGGCCAACTTCAGCGAGGGTCCACGGGACTGATATACTTCTCGAGTTTAGCAGTCGTCTTTGATAATCTGTCCGATGTCAAGAAGACCACGGTCTCAGTTGAGAATGCTAGCAAAGACCTCATCTCGTCACTTGCTGAATGTCTACTAGGTTGTTAACTGGGCCAATTTTCAGAAGCGACTATTTCCAATATCGGGAATGATATATCTAGCGAGTGATGTGTCATGTACCACTAAACGAGAGATGTGCCTACCAGGTAGTCGCTATTTAACGCGTCAGAAGTGAGCTAGTTCCGAAAGTATAATAATATTCACCTAATTACATGACAGCGAACGGCCGGGAGAACCGGGAAAATAATATTACGAAAAAAGAAAGAAGAAAAAAACACCCATCTACCGTCCCTCAGAGTGCCCAACTAACCCTATGAAATAAAAGGAAATGAGTAAAACTACATGTACACCCCATAGCAACTACCAAAGAAAAAGAAGACAAAAAATCCAACATGCATTAATTTTTTTGTTTATTTGATGTCTTTATATCATTTCACGCCGTTATGCAGGAACTGAAGGAAACATGAAAAGGAAAGGAAAACATAATAAGGAAGAGAAGAGATCTCATTTTATGACGAGAGAAGAGAAAATGTAAATTGGACGTTTCCAAAGAGACGTCGGTAACGATACGCAACCCAAACCCAGATAGATGGACTGAAAAGAAAAAAGGTAGAAATATGATCAGGTAGTCGGGTCATGTCAAGTCAAGAGAGTTCGTAACGGCGCGAAAAAGTAAGGAAAATAATGGAAAAACCACCCATGCCTATGTTTACCATTCTATAGTGCATCCGGCTCTCTCATCTCAACGAGTATGGCCTCTTTCACCCACTCGTCTTGCTCAACCATGTCCAGTTTCCAACGCTTACTAGCTCTTCTGAGCAATCCCTCGACGACACGTTTCCCACCTTCATACTCCGCGTCATATCCTTGAGGTCTCTCGCTGCCATTAACGTCTACTACAATGCCGGAGTCACCAGAGGAGTTGACTTCAGCAGGTTTGGGCACCAGCTTCGCCCACTTCCACTCGCAACGAGCGATTCTATGCGCAGTCTTACTGCGCATTTTCTGCTCTGAGGAACCGGGAGGTGGATCGAAAGGGAGTCTGCCTTCCATCAGAGCGAACAGGAGAACGCCTAGCGCCCATGCATCTGTCTGGCGACCATCGTATGTTTGGGCCATTATCAGCTCTGGACTTGCGTAGTCGTCGCTTCCACAACGAGTTGTTAGCAGGTGGTCGTCGCTGCTAAAGTCTACCCTGCGGGATAGCCCGACGTCTGTGAGCGTCGTGATAGGGAAGGGAGCATCGTATGGGGAGGCGGCTATCTCAAGTAATTGATCCCTGGTGTAGTTTATGAGGACATCTGATATGGCATCAGCACCGAGGTCAGATGAGACAAATTGGGGGAAAAGAAATATATATATATTCCATACTCTCCAGTTTGACATCACGATGCACTATCCCACTCTTGTGCAAATACCGAACAGCACTGACAATTTCAGCAAACATACGCCTAACCAGTGGAGCTTCCAATGTAAAACTGGAATCCGCGGCCAGGTCAAACAAATCTCCCCCAGGGCAATACGGTAGTATCAACAGCGCCCTCTTGGACTCAATACTGTAAGCACGAAGTCTCACCAAGGCCGGATGCTTGACGGACTTGAGAATATCAAGTTCGCGTTTCAGTGAGCTCTCGACCCTCTCCTTCGAGGCTCCTCCGGCGGCACCATGCTCAACAATCTTGACGGCCACAAGCTTCCTTGGGTCCAACGATATAGGCTCTCGTCCAACCACCACCCCATCATCGTCCAAGCTATCGACCTCGTCTGGGATAGCCTCAGAGGTCGCTAGAATGACCTTGCTAAAAGTTCCGTGGCCCAGCAATCTCAGACCCCTCCATTTCCGCACCCTGTTATCGGGAACCGTCTTTGCCTCAAAACTCTCTAACCTGTGTTTCTTGATCAAGTGACTACTCGCTTCGGCAGCGTCAATCGCCGTATCAGTACTAGAAATCGAGGACAGTGATGTCGCGCTACCGCTCAGGGCAGGACTGGAGTCTGTGGACGAAACAGTCCATCTTCGAGGCTGGGCCAAAAAGTCCTCCCGTCTCATTCGTGGTCCACTGCTCGCATCTGCTTCGTGATTTGAACCGCCCTCATCGGTCCCAGGCCCACTGGTCAATGATGGTTTAAAAGAATCGCGACTTCGAGAATGAGGCACTGCGAGGGTACCAGGGTCAAAGTCGTCTCTACTTCGGGCAGCGCTGTTGCTACTATAAGCGAATTCAGTACCGGGAGCAGGAGCAGGAGTGAAGCCCTGGTAAAGTTTTCGTTGGGTCTGGGCTGCAAGAGCCGTTGAGAGCGATTCGCCCGTTGACGTAACTATTGCCGACTCGGACCCACCGATGCTGCGGGATGGCGTCGGTCTTGACTGCGAAGGTTTTCTTGAAATTGATCTGCTCCGATATTTATTCCAGGGGCCAGGAGAATCGCCGCTAACAAGAGGAGACGGCAGGGGCGTCATCTTCGCGAGCACTTCCATAGCCGGGGAGTAGGCCGAAGCCGCGGAGGCCGGGGACAGCGAATCAACGTAAGACGTCGACCGCGACGGCCCCGCCGAGGACCCGCCGGCGTTCGGATGATGGCTAGCCACAATTAAGTTTGACGTCTGCAAACGCAGACCGGGGAGCGCTGTAGGAAGAGAGGGGCCGTGTTGAGGTGGATTGTTGCGGGGCAGCGGGGGTTGTACGGGGGGCTGCAGTTGAAGCGCGGCAGCATCTCGCTGCTGGGCTTGATCCTGGGTGGATAGGGTTGTCGGAGGAATACAACCCACCTTAACAGTTCGAGAGGGGGGAAGAGGTGCGAAGGGTGCGATATTGGTAATCAGGGCCGCTGGACCAGCAGAAGAGGAGAGAGGAGATGAAGGAGTGGGCGGAGGAGGAGGGACAAGGACGTGCTCCTGCTTTTGCTGTTGGCCCAGGTGCTGGCCAACGGCGGACATGGCGGGCGAGGAAGTGTAGGAACTCGGATGACAGGCACAACCTAGTCACAGTTCCGTTAGAAATCACCAAAATCCAGATTGCTAGCTACACAAACAAGACACATAATAAAAAGCGGCGCAGCTGCGGTTACTTGGAAGAGCTGTTATTAGAAAGGGAAAGACATGCTCTGGTGTTTCACCTTTTATTCTTTATTTCTTATTCTATTACCTTACCTTACCGGGATTCGGAGGATGGGGGGGGGGGGGGGTGGGTGCAACGTGCAGGAAGCCCAGGTGCCGCAACCACGACTCGAGAAGGAAGATGCTGGTTGGCTGAACGGTGGGGAAGAGTAAGAATCAAGGGTAGCAACTGTCAGAGTGAGGGAAAGATCGGGGTGGGGTATGAATAAGAAAAATAAGTAAGAAAAGTGAGTAAGAGATGTAGAGGGGGAAGGGGTTTTTGGCAGAACAATGAAAGGGGAGGGAGAGCAGCTTGACGACGGGGGAAGGGGAGAGAGAAGGAAGTGTGTGTGTGTGTGTGTGTGTGTGTGTGTGTGTGTGTGAGAGAGAGAGAGAGAGAGAGAGAGGAGGAGAGAAG